GATTGGGCAGTCACATTCTATGGTTGCACGAGACAAATCATTGTTTGAGCGTTATTGTTTCCCCCGTTTCTTTTTTTATTAAAAAAAGTGAACAAAATGTTCCAGAAAGACGTATTTGGCAACAATATTTCAACATAACGACCACTACTCATTGGGACTGATACAAATAAAAACTAATTTGTTTATCACGGTAAATATGGATATATTAACCAGTTGCCCGAGCGTTCTCAGAGATTTGCAAACGGACCCCAGGTTGTATAGTATTGCGCAATTCATTTGATAATTTTTATATTTAATTCTGAAATGAAATGTGACACTGGTTTTACTCGACAGAAAAATACAAATACTAACCAAATCCAAAATCCGCCATTGTCTGAGGTACATCGCTAATTCCTATTCGTTTTCCACATTTAGCACAGCGTAATGTGAGTTATTCATTTGAATATGTAATGCGTCACGGTCCGAATGGTTAACTTAACACCAATACAAATATATAAACGACAAACAAATCTAGTGTAGAAAATAGAAATAGGCATTCATACACACATACCTTGAATATATTTTAGTCAAAACCTGCTATGCAACACATTGAACGGCCATTTTGTACGACGTGTGGCTCTCACACGTAAATAAATCCACATACGTTTATTTATAAATATTTTTTTTTTATATTTAGATACCTGATTATGGATGACAAACGTTAAACACTAGACCACACTTAAACATTGTCTGTCTATATTGGATTGGTTCTTAGTTTTGAAACACATGTAGTATTATTTGTTGTGTGTGCGTTGGTCTTAAATTTCAATATAGTATTTAGCATGTCGAATATATGCACTTAATAAATGAATAGTGAATCAGTCAATGGTACCCTCCATGATTTATACTATTATACTACACATTATTTGTAACATAGTAAGACTAATAATACAGTGTTTTGTTCTATGCCTGAAATGTCGTGATTTGTACCAAAGGTTTGTTCATTTGTTATGAAAGCATATTATCTCCGAATAAACTGTAGCCCATTTATCTTTTATTCTTAGTACCTTACAGCCCAATATAATAATGGCCTCGTTTCGAATTATCCGGAATACATACATCCTGATTTAAGATGTAAAATTGAGCTTTATGAAATGCGCTTCAATGTCATATCATAATATCTAAATAGCAAATTTACCATAAGCTTGTTATGGTTACTTTTTTGTGACATTTTATGGAAATATCAATAAAAATATTTTATTTTTACCTTTTTGTTGTTTGCCACCTTTCAAATCAGACGATTACAAATTTATAATAATATTTTTGTACGCACTCCGGCAATTATCTCTTGTAAGACGTTAGCAAATGCAAGTGCAATAAACAATATTGTTTGTGCTTCAGCCGTGCGACCGAAGTCAACAAAAGTCGTATCCGGTTTATAATGATTTTATCATATATCTTCTAAGACTCACCCGGCGGCACAATACCTAAAACTGGGTAGAGGGGTGCCATTGAGCTTTCAAAAGTTTGTGCATGTTTGTACCAATATATTGGCAAAATCCATACTCATATTTATACCAAAGCACAATTTTTAAACCCATGTGTATACCAAATAACTGCTGCCATTGTTTGTGTCAGCTGAGTACGGATGCACAAAGCCAGTATGTAGTTACGCCTGAGCTACATGAAAGACGTCGCTAGGGGTAATCTGAACAATTTATTTATTTAAACTCAATTCGAGCGGGATTTAGGTCTTGCATGACCAATGTTTATTCAAAAAGGATACCGGGTACAGCTCGAATATTGCAGATATCTAGACCCTAAATTTATACTCGGACAGGAAATAGAACTCTTGAAATATATACCCAATTTGTAATTTCTACATAGTGCCCCCGGTGATTCATTTATCTCGGTTATTATTGATATTTTTAGCATTTATTCAAACGTTTACAGTGTGGATTTATATTCCTCTGCCTGGCGACACAGCATCAACAAGGCGCGCGGGCGTTCTAACATTTGGTAGCACACGCACATTCTTGAATTAGGATCCCCGCTCGAACCCCGACTATAACGCGTACAGAGAATGATTGACAGCTCATGCATTCTCTGTTCAGTACCGGTGGAAAACCACGTAATGTCGCGTGAGGGCGTTTACAAGCTTCCGAGGCCTTCGCTGAAATGCCTCCGTCATTTCTTGCAAACGTCTTCGTTGTTTGCCGATTTAGAATACTAACAAATTAGGTGCGAGACATTCAACAATCTAATTTCATTCCAAAAATATCTAGTAAATAACTATTGTTTGAACGCTAGTTGTAGCTAATGTGATCGACCTTTCATTAAGACAAGCTCCGCAATATAACGGCAAATTGCTGTCATCTCCGGCAACACTATGTACAGGTAGCTGGCTGAAACTAGTTTCCTGCTCTAAATCTATGAAATAAAAATATTTGTTCAAATATGGTCACACAGGGCTGGGCGCGATATGGAAAATTATTGTACAGCTCGCTCATAGGGTTTCTCATAGCGTTATGAGGCCGGGCAATACAAGTTACATGATAATCCTGCTTTTGTGAAAAGGCATGTATTTAGTTCACCCTCGTGTGGCAAGTAGTATAAATGATCTTTGACCACAGATCATTCAAATAAAGCAATAAATTACGCCAGAAAACCGATTTGCACTAAATTTGTATGAAGAAGCAGGTTCACGTAAGTTCAAGTTAAGTTGTCTTTATTTTGAAAACAACGTAATAGATGTTTCAAAGAAAATATATATAAATACTTCTCAAATTGCTACTTGATATAATCAAAAAATATTTTATGATCTATCTAGTGGAAATCGCTGCATCTAGCGTAGTAATATGTTTAATCCCACTTTGAGAAAACCAATATAGTTACAAGAGCTGAGAAATACGGAAGTCTGCGCTAGTATTTGTTTATTCAAGTTTGTCCAGTGCCATCACCTGATACCACCCTGTTTGTACAGATGCCCTTTATCATTTCTACCCTAAACCCAGCTTCCCTAATTAATACCATGATATGTTTGTCATGTATGAATTTTAAACAAAGTTTTGACAATGAAACATAAACAAAAAAGGCTTAGTTTGTTGTAAATCCAGACAAATAGCAACTAATTCTTATTTTAGTGTAAATTGTAAAAAAATAGATAGTAGAAGTGTTCGGTTTACATAGTTACTTTGTTTAATTTGTTTTTTTTTTATTTTCTCATATTTGTCCGTCTGTGTCCAATCTTTCAGAATTTATATACATTTTCACATATACTGGCCAAAGATGACCTAATACGGGAGCTATCAATTATTAATATTGTCTCGTTTATTACTTTACCATTCTGGCTTTCTGATATGTGAATATGTAAATAATAACTTGGTGAATGAGCTCAGCTCACGCTAATCCATTGTCAGTAGCCACTGAAGAATTATTTTTAGTTTTGCCCAAACAATTGTTTACACATGTGTATTTCGAGAAAATATAATGATATCCTATAGCATACATAATTTGTAAAATATTTTTACAAAACTGATGTCACAATATTGCCACTGCACGTTTATATCTCCACACTCCGATAAGCTCTTTGTTCTAAAGTGGGCGCGATAAAACATACGTTGTCATAGTTTATTACGTATCTGCAAAAAAAAGATACCATGGTATAACATGTATTATGACTTATGTTCTAGTAATTACATTATAAACAATATTCCATACGCTGTCGGATCGAACTTAACCATAATACTACA